GGCGCCGGCACCGGCCGCCGCGCCCGCGCCGCGCTCCCCGGCGCTCGCGCCGGCGTTACGGCCGTCGGCCGGCTCGGCCGCGTTCCGGCCGCAGCAGCCAGCGTTCGCGCTGGCGCAGCAGCAGCAGCAGCAGCAGCAGCAGGGTGTGCAGGCGCCGGCGCCGGCCCCGCGGCAGCCGCAGGTGGACCTGCTTGGCGTGGAGGTGGCGCCGTCGCCCAACGCGTCCGCAGCTTCCAGCAGCGGCGGCGTGCCGCCGGCCCGTGCGGCGGCAGCAGCACCCGCGGCAGCGACGGCGGCGGCAGACCCTTTTGACGACTGGCACGACTTTGCGTGTGCGGTCGCGCCCGCCGTGGGCGCCAGCGGCAGCACCGCCTCCGCCGGGGACCCATTTGCAAACTTGGGGGCACATGACCTCATCGGCGGCTTATCCATGGTCTCGACGGCGGCGGCGCCTCCGCCGGCAACCGCCCCTGCGCCGGCGCCGCCACCCGCGGCTGGGCACGGGGGCTTCGGCGGTGGGGGCGGCAGCAGCGGCGGCGGCGGCTTGCCGGGCGCACTGCCCGCGGTGGCGGTGCGGCCCGCGACAAAGTCGGCAGAGGACATTCTGAAGCTCTTTGACCGGCCGCAGCAGCAGCACCGCCACCACCACAGCCTGTCTTTCGGCGCAGCGCCCCACAGCCCCGTCATGTCGGCCGGCTACCCCCGCAGCCAAAGCGCGGGCGCGGCGAGCCTGCAGCAGCAGGGGGGCCTCCAGCACCACCAGCAGCAGCAGCAGCAGCAGCCCCTGCAGATGCACTACGGCGCGCCAGGCGTGGGCGGGGTGGGCCTGTTCGGAGGCGCGGGGGCGGGCCTGCAGGCGCCACCGCCGATGGGCGCCTATGGGCACATGAGCGGCATGGGGGTTGCCATGGGCCCGCAGCATGCGCAGCACGCGCAGCAGCAGCTGCAGCAGCAGCAGGCAGGCGCAGCTTTTCTGATGCCCTCAGGGCTGTGAGGGGCGCGCGGCGGGCTGGGGAACGCATGGCTCCTGCGCGTATGACCTGGTGCCGCACGCCCCTGCGGGCGGCATGTGGGGTCGCGGCCTGCGGCAATTTGATGATCATGCATGGAGCCGGTATCCCATCTGTCGCAACCGGATGCATAAATTCAATCGCTTCCTTTTCATCTTCATGCCGGTAGCGCTGATGCATTTCTTCACATGCCAGCAGGTCAGATTTTTTGTGCCTGCCCCTTGAAATCCATCTGCTGGCACCTGGTGTTGCAAAATGCCTATGATTTCATCCAACAGCTGTACTCGCTCGAATGCAGATGGGTTGCAAGCCCTCATGAACAGCACTCGTGTCTTGCCGCGCCAATAAGCAACGGGATATGAGCAGGGGCCAATAGTGTTACAGGGAGTGCACCGCGTCCCGCAGAGGCGCAGCAAAGAAGAAAAGGTGGACGGCGGACAGGCGCGGCAGCCGAGCGTCCGCGCGCGCCGAGGGTCAGAGCCGCCACTCCACGACGCTGTCGAGCGGCTGCCGCGACGCCTTGTATGACGCCGCGCGCTCGGGGTCGGCGACGCCCGCGACAAAGTAGCCGATGCACAGGTCGTCGGGGCCGATGCCCAGGAACTCGTGCATCTCTGGCGCGGTGCGCGCTGGGGGTGCGGGCGAGGCGAGGGGAGGGGGCGGGAGGGGTCAGCGGATGCGTCAGGCGTGGTCCAAGCGGAGGAGGTGGCACGCTTTGCGGGAGCGCCGACGCGGCGCCGTTGCCCCGCAGGGAGGCTGCATGCGGGAGGGACGTGTCGATCCTGCGGCAAGGTGTCTCGCAGATCGCGCACAGCTCTCCGGAACCTGCTGGCGTCTCGCCGCGCGGGTCTGCTGTCAAGCCCCCGCCTCGAAGCTCAGTGCCCCGCGCCGCGAGACTCCGCGCCCGTGCAAATTCATTTGCCTTCCCCGCGGCTCACCTGCTTCCTGCCAGCTGGTCCAGTAACCCGCGACCCCCACCGATGTCGCGACCAATGAAAGGTTCTGCACCGCGCACGACACAGCCGCCACCTCCTCCCACTCGGGCAGCTGTGGGCATACAGGGTGGCGGCAGGCAGAATGCAATGATGTATTGGTGCTGTGCATAGTGGTTTCAAAATTGATGGAGGGTTGCACGAAAGATGAGCTGCGAGTGCTGGGATGTGGCAGGCCCTGTGTAGGGAGGTTCGCCCATGAAGGGGGGCGGCCTCGGTGCGAGGGCTGCAAGGTGATCTCGGGACGGAGCCATTGAATCAGCTGCCACTGGGGGGGCAGAGAAGTTGGTAATGCCTCCCGGTGGCGGGGGGGTGATATGCAAGCAACACAACACGCCTGCTGCAGCTGCGACTGCCTCACAAGTCACCGTTTCATCCCAATCATGCCACCTGCACGCGCGCGCGCCTGCACGCATCGCAATGCGCCACCGCACGCGCACGCATGGGCCGCCGCGCGTCCAAAGCGCACGCCAGCCCCCACCTTGTCCGGGCTGCGCTTGACGCATATTGCGATGTAGCTGAACGACAGGGGAAGAACATATGTGGAGACATGCAGAAAAATTATGCACAGCGATGCACACATCCAACGAGGTCCAGATGCAGCACCAATGCATTTCCTTCGCGGCGCTCCTCAGTCGTCGGTGCTGAGCTGCGCCCGATTTCAACCCCAACGCCGCCTCTAGCTAGGGCAGCGCGCCATGAAGCCCGGCCAGCCAAGGACGCCGCTGCCCACGACCCACAACGCACAGGCCCCCCGCCCGCCCACCAGGCCACATTCTTCCAGTCCTTCCCGGCCTTGCGCTCCAGCTTGGTCAGCGTCGCCTCTGCCTTCTCAGGCGGCAGCCGCTCGCGGCACAGCCGCATCGTCAGGGCCTCAAACTGCGCCTTGGCGTCGCCGCCCAGCACCACGAAGCGCCACGGCTCTGAAGGGGTCGGGGCCGGCGGGCGGGGGCAAAGGTGAGGCACCAGCTGGCACGGCGGGGCGGCGTGGCTGACGCGGCGGCGAGCGGAGCCCGCAACCGTCCGGGGGCGCGTGGGTGCGGGGTGTACCCTGGCTCGAGGGGGCTCACCTGTCTTTTTGTGTGTGGGCGCCCACCTAGCCGCCTCCAGCATAGTTTCGATCTGCCACCTCTCCAGCTTGGCGCCTGGGGGGGGGGGGGGTGGCATCACCGCATCTCCCCCGTCAAGGATTGTGCTTGCAAGGGTTGTGTAGGGGCGTCATCGGCAAACACTGGTTTGTGCAGCGGGGTTTGCTTCGCCCAGGCCGCAGGAAGGGGCCGCTACGCTCTTCCATGGACGCTGGGGCGGCGCTAACAGGCGCCCTCACCAGTAAAGTCCCTAGGGAAGATAGACCGCCGGCCCCGAGCTAGCTGCACTGCCTGCTGCCATGACGGCAGCCCCACAGCCGGCTCCGCCAGCGCGCGCAGCGCGTACGCCGCGGCGCCAAGCAGGGCGACGATGAGGAGGGCCGTTGGCGTTGTGATGTAGCCATTGACGACGGCCAGCGCTGCCGCCAACGCCGACAGGGGGCCGCCGATTGATAGTAGCGGTGCCACCACGGCGCTTGCGCGGCTGCTGCTGTCAGCACTCGCCGCGGAGGGCGCCATTGCTCGTGACCGCAAGGGTCCTTGCCAATCTATTCCCGGGCACCGTGACCTGGATAAGCTAAATTGACTGCTAAATGGTTTGCGTAGACGAGTTGATCTGTGGCAGATCGAAACACTGCGCGAGGAGACAGTTAAACTCATTTCAAGAGCTCTTGTGACTACCATGTGGACACGGATACGCATTCGTCAACACTGTTGAATCGGTTACGCCAAAGAGCCCCCGGAAGCTGGACCAAAGAGTGGAGAACGGGGGCTTGGCAATTACCTCGTCATCGTACACTCACCAGCTCAGCAAGCTGTTGCGGGCTGCAACGCGGATTGTCACTGGCTGGCCTGGGGGCACGCCATTAGCACTCCCAAACGGCGCCGTGCGCCGTGCTGGTGTCCCAGGCGCAAGCAGGTCACCATGGCGGCTTGACAGGCCCGTAGCCTGCAGCCAGAAGGCAGCAGGCAGACGGAACAAACGCAGCAGGCAGCGATCGCGTTGCGGCGTGCGGCTGCGCAGCGGCGCCCCACAACAGCACCACAACGCCACCAGAAGCAGGTGGCACGTTCAAACACGCTGCACTGACGACTGGCCCCAATGGCATTTGAAGAGTGAGTGGCGCTGCCGGCAGGCGCCTCGATAATTTGCTTCGATAGCGGCTCTCCGAGGGCAGAGCGCCGCCGTTGCAACACGGGCAGCGATAGCAGTGTTCTGGCGGGCGGTGTCAACCCAGCCCCTTCGACCCTCCATCCTCCTGCGTGCTTTCAGGTACATCAGGCGCGCCATCTTGACCGGCCGGACGTACGATGACCTGCCAGCCAGGGTCAAGGCGATCCTGCCGCTGGCGGAATGGCGCGCAAAGTGAGGATGCTCCTTGAGCCGCAGCGCAGCCTTTGCGCACGGTTTGGGTCATGGCTCGTCCAGCTGAGTTCCTGCGCGCCAACGTTTCAAAGCAAAATTGATGCACCCACACCTACAAAATACCTTCACACACACATGCATGCACACACACACACACACACACTCCAGACACACACGCACGCACGCGCGAGAGAACAAACACACAGACACACATGGCGCCCACATGCAGTCCTACACACGCACGCACACACACACACTCACACGTATGCATACCATATACGCACAGACACGCACCCACATATGCATGCACATGAGCTTCATCAACGCGCTCATGCAATATACACACCCTCCCTCACATCCGTCCCCATGCCCCCCATCACCCCCCAAGGGTGCGCGAGTTCTGTGTCCTGCGCGGCTACCCCTGGGCCACCAGTGCAGCCCGCCATGTGTGCGGACAGCAGGAGTATTACGATGACCTTCTTGCCAAGTACAAGGCCTGGGGCAGGGTGAGTGATGCAGGGTGGCAGGGCGGTGCTGCTGTGCCGGAGGGCTGGTGCCGCCGTGCTAGATTGGCACTTGGTACGGGGTGCGTGGTCATATATATATATATAGGCCGAAGTGCTCGCAAGCACGTGTCTGCGAGCGAGTCTGTGTGTGTGTGTATCTGTGTGTGCGCTGTGTGTGAATGCCGGCGTGAGAATGCGTGTGTGTGTCTGTGTCTGTGTCTGCGTGTTGTGCGCACACTAGTGTGTGCATGTGTGTGTGTGTGTGTGCGTGTGTGTGTTTGTGTGTCTGTGTGTGCATATGTGTGTGTGACAGAGGTCGAGAAGGATTCTGATGCGGCTGAAGAAATGACCGGGCCGGCGCTGCCGTGGCGACTGCGTCCAGGGGCCAATACTGCTACTGAAACGCCCGGCTGCACAGCCGGTCCTTTCGGTCCGTAGCGCCACAGAGCCGCTAAGCGCACACCCGATGCCCTCCCCGCCTCGCCATACGTTCGTCATCCCTCCGTCCTCCGCCCTCTGCCCTCTGCCCTCCTGCACGCGCCCGCAGATCTTCCCGTACCACCTGTCAGAATATGTGTGCCGCGTGCAGCGCGCGAGCCCCTTCAAATACTACAGCGATGTGCTGTTCCTCACGCTCAAGGAGGAGCGGTCCTACGACACGATACCAAACTTCACGGTGAACACGAGTGGGGATTGTAACGAGTGGTGGAGAAGTTGAGTGTTGTGTGTGTGTTTGTGTGTGTGTGCGCATGTGTCTGGCGGGGTGTGTTGTATGAGTGCGCTCGCGTGCACGTTTAGTGCACCCTGCATGTGCCGTGCTTGCCAAACCCACCATTCCGACACAGCTTCATCACCGCGCAACACAAAAACCCTCCTTCTAGCCCTAGTACTGTCCAAATCTACATCCACCTCACATGGCGCCCGCGTTCTCCGGCCCCGCCCCACCCCCATCCCACACCCACCTCCCGCACGCCTGTCTTGCCACAGGCCGCCGACGCGCTCCGGGTGACTGGTGTTGGGCGCAACGAGTACATAGCCATCCTGAACGCCTGCAAGGCCAAAAAGTTGATGTGGCGCGTCAACAAGGCGCTCGCCCGCGACCTGCTTCCACAGGTGCATGTGTGTTCGCGTGTGCGTGTGTGTGTGTGTGTGTGTGTGTGTGTGTGTGCGCATCTGCATGCATGTGTATGCGTGTGGGGGTAGGGGGGCGAGGTGCGTGTGGGGATGGGTACATGCACAAAAAAATGGGCAGCAAGTGTTGATTGCAAATAGTCTGAGCAACCTCATAATCATGCTCGGGCCGGAACCTGCGTTGCCCTTCCAAATTCAAAGACCGAATTACATTGCATTACAGCCAGCAGCGTTCGCCCTCCCCCAAGTGCTTTTGCAGCAGCGAGGCCGCGGGCAGCATCGGTGCCGTGTC